GTATACTCAAGTCATATAGAAGAATGTCCTTGTTTTTATGAAATATACACTAAATATCTTAGGGCAGTGGGCATCATATCTGTAACTTAACCTTTAAAAATAAAAAAAATTAAGAGAAAATGATAGTAAATGATAAATTTGGTAAAATGTTAATACTGGGAAACTGGATGAAGGGTTTAGAGAAACTTTGAGCTGATTTGTCACTAGAATGTATATTACATGAAGAGTACATAAAGAATAGTATTCTTGCAGTTTTCCTGTAAGTCTGAAATTCTATCAGAATCAAAAGTTAAGAACATTAAGAAGGACAATTTATATATTTTCATTATGGTTATATATAAAACTAGAACGTACCAATTTATCTGTACTTGAAAAGTCTCTTCTTAAGTTTCCAACTAACTTGCTCATGGTCCTGAGGGAAGAACAATATTCCTTAAAGCTGTCTTCTAGTCAGTAATTCTATAACATATATATTCCTCCACTTCTCAGACAGCCCTACATCCAAATCACTTAAATTAACTTTCCCTAAACAGAGTCAAGACTTAAAAAAAAAAAAAGAAAGTAACTTCATGAACTATGGAAACATGATCATTATACCTTTAGGGAAACAATTAAAAGAGTTCATCCAAAAGAATAAAGTGTCAAAATGACATCATTCAAAATCAGAATGTTCAGAGCTGCCAGATTCTGTAGTTTATTGTTTAATAACATATTGGCAAACTTTTTCTGTAAAGGACAAGACAGTAAATATTTTAGGTTCTGTTGGCCATCCAGTCTCTGAACCAACTACTCAACTCTACCAGTGCAGTGAAAAAGCAGTCACAGACAATATGTAAATGAACAAGCTCGGCTGTGTTTCCTAAAAAATTTCCTTTATAGAAACAGGCAGCAGGGCAGATTGGGCCAGCCATAATTTAGATGAAAATATCTGATAATTAAAAAATAAAAACAACAACAAAATAAGAACTCACTGTATAGCACAGGGAACTATATTCCGTTTTTCACAATAACATATAATGAAAAAGAATCTGCAAAATACATATATGTATCTATGTATAATGGAATCACTTTGCTGTACACCTGAAACACTGTAAATCAACTATACTTCAATAAAAAAATTAAATTAAAAAAATGGACTACTAACAAGTTTTAGACCATACTTGCTTTTTATCAAGTGAGATATTTAATTAAAAAAAAATTCAATGTAGTAGTACCTAAAATAGTTCTCCACAGGGGCAATCTTGAATTTTAAAGAAAAGGATAAGTAATAGTGACCCTTATAGATACAGAATAATCTCTATTAAGGATTCTGAAATTTACTACAGAAATCCAGGGGACAATCATTTCATTTAAAAATGTTACACGGTAGATTTCACATACAATATTAGTTATGAGCCAAAATTCAAAGCAGTGACTCAAAACTTTTCAGTTGGGTAACTCTCTGTTTTATTTAGACCTCCTGTAGAGCTCAATGCTTAACTTTCTAGGAAAATAATGTTTAATTAAAGATAATGTCTTCAGATAAAGATGAAAAAGACAGTAAGAATTGTCCTTAAGAAAAGTCCAATTTATCACACATACAAAATGTCCCTAAATGATCTAATCCAGGTGAAACTGTAACTACTCAGACTTCATCATCAGAAGAGAGACACATCCTGTAATCTAAGTGTTTACAAGAGAGGCTCTGGAATCACTAGCCATCACAGCCTATCAGCTGTCTAACTGCAAATGAAACTGCCAAATTCACAGGAACCTTACCTCTTCTCATGATCCAAATGAATGAAGATTTTCCAGTCATGTTATAATTAATCAACTTATAACCAGCTGTTTTGCTCTGAAGTCTAGGGTATATTTTCAGCATGAGGGATGATGTACAACAATTCCTTTTGCAAACAGGAATAAATGCACACGTCCCTGCTGAAAATGTAACCCAGGTAATTTCCATATGAAAATGAATGTATGCTCACGTGCAACAATGTGCTAATTGATGCTTCTTGTTGAGGTCTACTTAGGTGTCAAAAATGTGTAAGCCTTGTAGAGCCAAGGCAGTGGTCCTGTGTATAGAGGTATAGAAAAAGTAGCTCACTTAATCCTTTCTCGCCAGGAGTCGGGATTTTCCCAGAACGACATCCATTGTCGGCAATGGACGCACCAAAATAACGCCGGCGCCAGAGTTAACCACCTCTGTCCTCTTTTCACCTATTATATTTTTCATGCATCATCCAACTTCCCAACCATCTTCCTGTTTCTTCACAGAATGCACGCTAGGTTCTTGTTTTTCTTCAGCACGGAGTTGAAAATGGAGTTGAGAAAAGGAGACACATGGTCAGCTGGTGATGTTAACAAGCTCCTTGCTGCCCTGAGAAGCTAGATGGAAATGGTTCAAGTTACAAGGGGGATCATCATCAGATCTGGGAGGACAAAGAGTAATTCATGAAGCTTCATTCCCTTCCCTCCCACCCTCTTTCATTTACTGATGATCCCTATAGTAGGCCTTTACAGCAAAATTAAGATTAAGAAATCTGAAGCAAACTCTTTCAGTTCTTCACTCCATCCAGTGTGTAGAAAGGCCAAGTGGAACATGTGTCCAGCAATGTTACAGTGGCCCACGAAGGACAGGGAAGCTTGGAGTGGCTAAAGTACTGCAATCTTAGTTCAGTGCTTTTTCATATAATCTTGGAATTAACATCAGAAACTAACAGTGCTTGGGAACAGGTGCTTAATAAAGGTTGGCTGAATAACACATATCCATTTCTACCAATATCTACTTGAACACACAGGTGGAAGTCAGACAGAAGTAGTTAACTCTTTCAATGCCGGGATAGTATGGATATATAGTAATCACATCAAGTCAAGGTGTTTCTCTAAGACATGTTCAAATTATGGGTTCCCTAGCTAAAGCACTTTTTAAAAAGGACAAACATAATCAGTCTTGAAATTAGAACCATGGTAAATGTTAATTAGAATGACAGATGAATTAAGAACCCTAGCACAAATGCGTAATAAAACATCACAGTTCAATCAAGTAAAAACATTTCTCAGTAAATGCAATTCTAGATGGGTAATGATTCCAGAGCAAATTGTAAAATTTAAAGGAGAATTTTATTTAATGACTTCCTTGATGCTTAGAATTAGGATAAATCCAAAGTATGAAAGTTAAGAAGGATGGATATATTTTAAGTACAAATGAAGTGTTAAACCTCAAGTCAAGAGGATCACCAAGCTACATAGTGCTATACAACCACTTTGATCTTTCAGGTAGGAATGAAAAGGATAACAGAGAGGGGGAGAAATAATTTTGTAGGACTCAAAAAAATTTATGTCTGGAGTGTGAGTTTAAATTACCAGTTATACTTAATTGAGTTAAGGATATTCCAGATATATCATTATAATTATAATTTTAAAAACTTACCATATAGAGAAATAAAAATCTTACTTTCCCCAGATTTTAAGAAGAGACAGGTTTTTGAGAAATTAGGATGACTACCTTTTTTTTTTTTTTAATTATGTCAACCAGAGCCTTCTCAGGCAAAAGTGAACTACTAGGTCTACAACCCCACTCTCTCTCTAAAACTATGTCTATAAGGACTTTTCTATGTTCACCTGTATGCTTGTCTCCATTTCCACCTTCCTTACTGAGCCAGTCATAGTACAGGCCCTACTAGCAGTCTCCAAACACAAGGACTTCTTCCAGGGACTCCTGTGCCTTCACAAAGCAGGCTTTAAATAAAGGTTCACACAAGTAACTGTCCCAGTAGCTCTTTCAATTAATTCAAACTCCAGTTCCTGCGTTCACATGTTATGTCATAAACAGATTAACTATGAATCCTTCCTTTTATATTTATAAAAAGGTCAGATATCATAAGGCTTAATAAGGCTGAGTTTACGCTGAACTGTGAGCAATCAAAGAGTAGCATGAGTAAGAGCTCAAATGGGTAAACGAGAGCTGAAACCACACCATACTTAAAGAAGGGTCTCAAAACAGCAAATTATGAATGCCAAAAATAAGAACAGTGCACAAACAACCAACTACTCATTTTGCTCAGTTTAAGGACAGTTCCTTATGGGTCAAATGGTAGTATCTAATGGGCAAGTTTTGTAGTCATAACTGGGAACGGAGAGGATTCAGGTGTTCATCTTGCTGCAAATCTGTATAGGTGGTTTATTTGGTTGCTTCACCTCTGGGAGAAGAGAGGAGGAACAGAAAAATAGAAGCTAGGAAGTAACCTGTTCCCACAGAGTCCTCAAGACCGGGATCTCAGATCCAGATCACTTACAATCAAAATTTATCACATGTCTCCTAGGCTCACCCTGTTATTAACTCTTGTGTCTATCCAAGACCCAGACTGGGCTCTCTGCAAAGCAAACCCTGAACATCATGCTACATACTTTAATAAGTGATTATATAAGTATTAGGTGTGAGGGTTCCAGAACTCTCTTTATTTTTCTTTCAGATAACACCTTTTGACCAAACAGGCATTTAAAAGCAGGCCTATTTCAGAAACAACGATACTGAATATGAACTAGTTCCATATAAGGTTGTTTTACTAATTTATGTTCAATCATTTTTGATGAGAAGCTGCTATATCACCTTGGCTCTACTTAATTTTAAATTAATTTCTCGTTAATCCAATACTAATTTCCAATTATTTTAAACATTCTTTTTTCTTACATAGACTCTTTCAATGTAGAATCCCATTTCATATGCAAAGGATTTCTGGTTTTGTTTTTTAATGTAAAGAGCACTTGAATGACTGAACTCACTGTTGTGATATGCTCCTGTAAATGAGGAAAAGGGGGACATTTGTGTATCAGTTTGGCTAGTATATCTCTTGCCAAGGATTAAAAGATGTTTGAAACATTTATAATCAGCTGACAGAGAGATAGTATCTCATTTTTCAAAAATACACATCGGCAGAAAAGTAGGTAACTTAACTTAAGTTTTATGGAACTCTAAACCTGACTAATTCAGGTTAAAATAAAGAAAAATGTTTTCTTACCTTTAGGTCTTTCCAACTGTCCAGGAGCTTGATGGCCAAATCACTTATATCTACTGTTTTATCTGGCTGTTCCTGGCTCCTCTCACTCTCCACATCAGATATACCCTCCTCTTCATCTTGGGATGGTGTTTCCTCAGCAATAGGTTCGTCTAGTTTCGTGCCATTGCTTTCTTTAGGCTCTATTTCAGTGTCAGCCTCTGGTTCAGATGAGGCTAGCTTACTGGCCTCCATAGCAATTTCACTATCAACTTTAGATTCAGGTAGTTGTTGTGTGAGTAGCTGCTGTGACTGTAACTCTTCCTCATCTTCTACAGGGATGTTTTCTAACTGGTCAAGGTCCTCCTTGCCATCTTTGCCTTCTGGCTCACTGGTAGCATCAGAGATCGCACTGTCCATACTATTTTCACTTATAATTTTAAGTCTGCGAAACATTAGCTTCTTGGGGGTGTCTGTGTCAGCTTCTGTGCTCAGTTTGGTGGAAGGATCAGGTGTGTTGAGTGGTGTGTGAGCACGTGACGTATTCTCACTAGAATACCCATCTCCCTCACTCAGCTGAGGGACAGCAGTCTTGGTCTGAGACCAACGTTGAATAATAGGAAGTACTTTGCTTTCCTCCAACATATTTTTAGTAGGAATGGGTAAATGTTCCAAAGTCTTTATAATCTGATTAAACACAATTAAAGAAAAAAAATCACATCACTTTGTATAGTTAACTTTTCAAACCTCTGGATGGGACTTAGATCATTTCTGCAGAAGTAGTAATTTTTTTCACTCTTTTATTAAGACTTAAGTCTTGTAACCACAGAAGAATTTAAGTGTCACAATATTATTTCCCTCTAGAAGGGAAGTAAAACTGTTTTAATAAGAATGACCAGCAAAATGTGGTCATTTTGCGGAGCAGGTGACTGCTCACAGTATCAAATAGGACTAATTTGATTAATATTCCCCATCAATAGTTCTCAAACCCAGGTAGATTTTTTTTTTAAACAGATACACTACTGGAACTCATCCTAGATATCTTTTTCGAAAAAGCTTCCCAAGTGACTGCAATACAAGCTTTGGAACTATGCATGAATATATATTTAAATGTCTTGTATACACACAAAAAAATGCAGATAGTGCTCCCCAATGTACTTCTTCAAGAACCCCAAGGCTTCCCCAACTTCTACTTATTGTTAAATCTCCTAGAAGGATAGAGACAAGACAATCACTCATCTGCCCACTCTCATGCTTTTGTTTTTAAAAGTATATTATTAAGTGACTTTGGAATTATTTTGGAAATTACGATTAAAAAGAACTACATTTAAATCAAGATAGAAAATACTGCGCATTTCATGGGAAAGTATAAAATATAACAATGCCACTAACAATGCTATCAGTATACACTTACTTAGATCTTTTAAAATAGTTGCTTACTCCTTAAAATGTTCTTACTCTTGTCATACAAAATTCAGCTCTTCACTAATTTTTTAGATGGTTTCCCATCTCTTTGAAACCATAGTTTTAGCAACAAACTGGATCTTTCACTTAACTATGTGAAGACAGAACTATTATTCTATCTTGCTCTTGGCAGTTCTCAACTATATACTACTAACCTTAAAAAGATACCACAGGAGAAAAAACCAGAGGCAAACTCACTTCTACCAAGTTGTTTATAAAGCTGTAGTTACAGAAATGATATTGGGATGATGAACTTATATAGTTACTTAATATCAGTGCTAAATACAGCACTAAATTTATTATCACTGATATTATCACATACTCTCAACCTAAAAAAAAAAGTATATTAAGAAACAAGCAAGTTGAATGTGAACTGACCTCTTCCTGAAGCTTCTGGTTACTTTCCCGGCCATCACCTAGCTCTGCCATCCAGATCCACAACAAAGACAGTCCGTGACGTTCCAGAAAGGACTTCAGGCAAGACTGTGAGTGTGTGTTCTTACATAGGGGAAAAGAAACAGGATGCAGGGTATTGGGGGTTGGAGGAGGGAGACAAACAATACCAGACACAGAGTTAAAGAGGGCCTACAGAGGGACTAAAGAGTTTATATTAACAAAAAAACCCCTAGAAACTCTATTTTGATTAACTCAACTAAAACTGTGCAATTAATAAATGCTTTAAAGTAAGAGGCTATAATCTTTTTTTGATACCTAAAATGTATCCAGTCAACCTGGACTTTACGAAAGTAGAGAATTATATAATTATTAATGTAATTTACAATGAAATTCAATTCTGAAGGACTAAGAAACAAATTACATTCACCATTTTTACTGAAGCTAAAACTTATAAAAAAAATTTTTTAATTATTTTTTTTTATCCAACTTCTTGTGGCATACTTAAACTAGAGTAAAAAGAAGATTACTGTTAAAATTCCTTGCTTTGAGATCCTGTGGTAAAAATGGCCTTGGCATGCTACTAATCAACGTGGGTAAAAAAAACCTGTATCAAGTGTCAGGAACTGTTACACACACAAAGATCCCACCATGTTCTTTGCGTAGAAAAAGCAAACAAGATCTGTTAATAGATTAAATGATGCTAAACCCTCAAGACAGTCTTAAGAATACAAGTTTTCAAAGTCATATAGAACTCACATACTCATTTTAAAAAAAATAGTAACTCTTCTCAACAAATTTATTCCTTTTCCATTCATTATTCTGGATTGTAGTTTAAATGTCCCACCTTAAATTCAGAAATAAAAAATAAAATTAATATCAAAGTGTTCACCTGTATGAGTTTAAGACAGGTAAGTTTCTGCTCCAAAGTTTCAATTCTAACCATTAGCCGGGATAAGCTGAGGACCTGGTTTTTATCAGACAGACCCTCACCGTTCTCCATCAGAGCTTCTAGCTCTCCATCCACCTGCAACAGCAAAGAAAAACATGGTTATAAGATAACAGCAACCACAAAAAATCCTCATTAATCTAAGAATCAAACAGCCTAAAAAGATGTTTAACCTCACCAGGAAAAACGTGTTTTCCTTAAAGACAACAGTGAGAAAACACGTTACATTCATTAGATTGGGGAAAAAATTAGTAAGTCTGATAATATCAAGTCTAAACAAAGATGCGGATCAAAAGGAACTTGAACACACTAATGAAAATGAAAATACAAATTGGCATGATCAATTTGAAAAGCATTTCATTTATTCATCAAATATTTACTAAGCATTTATATGTCAAGTGTAATTCAAGGTGCTAAAGACATTACAGTGAAGCAAAACAAAAAAAAACTGCCTTTATGGGAGAAAAAAGAACAAACTATATTAGGTGAAAAGTATGTCAGGAAAAAATAAAGCATTAGCTTAAAAAATAAAATATTTGTATCCCCTATGTCTAGCCATTGCACATCTAAAACTAAACCCTAGAGAAACTTCTGCACCTGTGTACTCAGAGAATCAGAAGAACACTCACTGAACAGCCATTCATAATAGAAAAAAACTGCCAACAACCCAAATGCCTGTGGCCAGGTTGGATAAATTGGCATGTTCACATAATGGAATATTATACCACAGTGAAAGGAATCAAATGCAGCCAAATGCAACATTTAACTATCTTACAAACATAATGTTATGTGAAAAAAAGTTCCAGAAAATTGCATGCTGTATTAATCTGTTTTTATGAAACTCAAAAACAAATTTCGAGCTGCATGTCTGAAAAGTCTATTTTAAAAAGGCAAAGGAGGTAAGACAAAATCTAAAATAGTAGTATCCTACAGGGGCTAAGCAAGGAGAAGAAAGCAGAGAAGTGCTCACAGCATATATAAAGCATACAATTATGCTTTATAACTTAAATACGTTCTTCAATTGTTCTAAAAATATTTAAATAATACAGAGCAACAACAAAAATAATGTACCAAAGACTGTTTTCCAGCTGTGTTGTAGCTATTATAAATGATATAAAGAAGTCCTCACAGAACGTACTACTGGGGAGACAAAATTAATTCATAGAAAACGAACAATGAAGCATTAACTGTAAATGTTAATGTTAAGAAACCTCAGAGGCCTAAGAAGGAAAGGCGCACTTAGAATGAGAGTCACCAGAAGTGAATTCACTGAAGTGGGGTTAAAAACAGGTAAGGTAAAAACAAGAGGAGGGAAGGAGTTCAGGAATGAGGGGAAAGTCTGAACAACAGGAAATGGAAAATTATGATAGTGTATAGCTCAGCTTGGCTGGGGGGAATGCCACCTGGTTAGGAACTGAGAAAAATCTTATCAAAAGTGAGGCTGGTGTTAGATTAGAAGATCTCAGATGTAACACAAAAGAATTTGGATTTGATGTGAGTAAGAGATAGTTCTATTACTGAATCACCCTCTCAAAATAAATGATCAAAATGGAATTTGAGAATAACTAGTGTGACAATAACATAAAATCTAGAAAAGATAGAGAATGAAGGAGAAGAGACATAACAACAGCATTAAATTAACTTGGCACAAAATGAAACTCTTGTTACGGTAAAGAACAAAAATAAATGAGAAAATGTAAAATGCTGCCTGCAAGAAGTTGAAGATACATAAACTTATTTTTTTCCTTCTATAATGTATATTTGAGGTCCATTCTTTTTCATCTCAGTATCATTTCTTGAGTTTTGAATAGATTAAATATGTGAACAGAAAAGTCAATTTACAGTTAAATCTTAATCTAAGACAATTTCCTTTAAGATATTTTTCCTTACATATCCTAAATGTAAAAGCTTTCTGTGTCCCAAATTCCAGAGGATTAGACTGAGAAAGACCAAGGGTTTAAAATTCCACGTTCCCCCTCAAATGCAGGAATCTTGCTTTTGACAATTCTGAGATGCAAATATTCACTGAGCTAAGAGATGGGATTATTTTCTTTTCATAATTAGGCATGTAATGATTCTATAACTCTGAAAACTTAAGAGACAAAACTGAGTTATTTTCATTCATTCAATAAACATTTATTGAACAGACATCACTGTATATAGGCACTACTAGAATATAAAAAGGTAGAGTTCTTAAGGAAACAGTAAATATGAAGTAAAACTGAAGAAACTAAAGTATAAATAACAAAATTTTGCAAACAAAATACAGGTGAACAACTTTTCAACATTCTTATTACGATGATAAGCTTAATGGTTGTATTGATATATACACAAAAGTAAGTCTGCCAATTCTAGTGGTGATATGATACAACTTCCATAATTTTGAGTACTCAAGTGGACAATCGATTGTACAATTTATAACTTTTAGGGTATGTGAGAGGGAGGAAGTTGGGAGATGACGGAGTCTGACAGCTTTCATTAAATTTACTAAAAGTATTTATTTTTCATTTATGGGTCACCACCTTCCAAAAGGAGTTGTGGTAACTAAAAGTTAACAAAAGTATAAGGAACATTAGGATGTATTTTAATAAATTATTGGTAATTGAAAATTTATATGTATATGCACAATTCTATAATATCAAGGATTTATTCTGTTAAGTATATAATCAGTCCAAGAAAAATGTTTATTCTTTATTTATACTTCAGTATTTTTGGCTATGAACTGTCTTTAATGGGTCTAAACTACCATTTTTAATACTCTGATAAAATATAATACACATGCAGAAAAAGTATATTAACAATTAATAAATATATAGGTTTTATAAACAGGTGAGCAATACCCATGGCGATCAACACTCAGGCAAAAACAGAGGGGATGGGGAGGACACAGCCAGCGTTCCTGAAGTGCTCAACATGCCCCTTCCTTAGTAACACCTTCTCTTCTCCACTCTAGAGATAATGTCCCCTAACTTTTTAGGAAATAGTTCTGATTTTTTAAATAGGTTTACTACATATATACAAATCCATAAATATTATAATTTAATTTTGTCTATTTTTAATCTTCATAGAAATAAAATCACACTGGACAAAATGCTGCATCGTTTCTTTTTCATTCAATTTTTCATTTTAAGAGTCACCAGTGTTGTTGCATGCAGCCATAGCTCCTTCATTTTCATGACTAGTTTTTTTCACATATGATTACATTATAATTTACTTATATTAATGTTAATGGACATTTGAGTTGTTTCTACTTTTTCTAATGTAAGCAATGCTGCTGTGACTCCTGATGTACATTTTAAACAAGTCTCTCTCTGGTTATATACCCAGGAGTGTATCTGCTAGCTCATATAATACTTGTACATGCAACTTTAGAAGATAACACCAAAGTGTTTTCAAAAGCAACTGTATCCATTTACACCCCGACCATCAATGTATGAGATCTGTTATCTGTTGTTCCTATGTATCATCAAACTTAATTTTTATCAATCTGGTGAGTATGCAAATGACATCTGATAGTAGTTTTAACTTGTACTTCCCTGATAACTAATGAGGTTGAACACCTTTCCATATGCTTACTGGCTATTTGAATTAGTAATGTGTCTATGGAAGTTGTTTATTTTTTCTTTGTTCTGGCTTTTTTTTTTCTTATTCATTAGAAATAGCTGTCTATATATTTTGGATACTAGTACTTGTTTATTATGTGTTAAAAGCAAATAGTTCCTGTCTTACGTGGCTTTTCACCCTCTTTATTGTGTAAATTACTTACTGTTAATTTTTTTTCCCACAAACTCAAACAAAAGAGATTGAGATAAAGTTTCAGACAATTTCCTGTCTGCACTTTATAAACTACAAATTACAAGTAACATCATATAATAGTAGGGATCTATACCTCCACCAATTAAATATTTAATTAAGTACTTAGTTTGTGACATACCCAAAGAAGACAATCACCTGTCCTGGAAGAACTTACAATTTTGTTAAGTGGATAAGCTGTATGTACATAGATGCAATCATAAGAGCAAAAAATCAAAAACGTTTACCAATCAAGGGCTAATATGGGGGGGTACAGATTACAAAGCCATTAACATATTCTTGTTAATACTGACAATACACACAACTATGCTTGAAACTGCTGCTATCCTGTCCTCTCCATGGCATTTCCTACCCAAAAGAATTCCAAAGACTAACACTTAGGAATTTCAAGAAGTGCTACTTTTGTGATTCAATTTAATTGCACCTGAACAGAATTCAGAATCTAGACATACAGAGGGAATGTCAGTAGGAGGTAGTCCAAGTAAAACTAAACTAGAGTTAAACTCTTCATTACAGTCAAGGACAAATGACCCTTCTAGGAACCTAGATTCATTCCCAGGTCATTCCTCTACCTGGATAAAGCTTCATCGAAAATATTGCTGTTCCAAAAAAACCTTCAAATTCACATCTGGAGCAATCTGGGAACTCAGTCTACCAAATGACTGGATGTTACACCTAGTTTAGTCTATAAGCCAAGGCCTAAACTTAGATGAACACACTATCAACAGAATAAAATCAAGCAAGCAAAAACCAGTAATGCAGTTTTTAATGCTTAAGTTTTGAAAACAAAATAAAGGGAAGCTTCTATGGCAATTTTAGCTTAGATCAACACATTTAACGACTATTTTGTGGTTGCTCTGGAAACTATCAATTATATGAAATAAGAGTTAAAAATAAAAGAAATCTTCATGGAGTTTAAAGAAAAATTTCCTGTAATAGTTAAGACGCTAATAGACTATGATCCAGTGACCCCACTTACATGGATGTATCTTAAAGAAACACTACAGAAGAGACATGTGTAAAGTTACCAACTGTGACATTAAGAGCAAAAAATTAGAAACATAAGTGTTCATTAGTAGGAATATATGTAAATAAATAGTTATATGATGAATAATTTTATAGCAGTTAAAAATATGCTTACATATATTCACATGGGTCAAGTTTTAAAATAAGAGTAAAAACAAATTGTAGAAATATACACATTTATTATAACATTTCTAGAACTTTACACAAAAGAACTCAATACGGTTAAGAGCAAAGACAAGAGCTAGACTAGCTTATTCCTGTAGCCTATTAAGTGATCCTGTAACCTCTCTGTGCCTTAGTGTTCTCATCTGTAAAAGGGGAAATCCTTGTACCTAATTTAAGGGCTTATTGTGAAATTAAGTAAGTTAACATGTCAAGTGCTTTGAAGAGTGCTTGGCACACAGCTACAATATATATGTTCTCTAAAAAAGACAGCTGAGGCAAACAATAGTCTAAACAGCATTTGTTCATCTTGGGTGGTAAAAACAAGGGTGTTTCTTATAAAATTTTCTCTGTGGCATTTTTTCATTTCATTCTTCCTTTTTTTTTGTAATGGAGGTAAATGGGATTGAATCCAGGACCTGGTACACACTAAGCATGTACTCTACCACTGAGCTATACCCTCCCCTACCCCTTGCATTTTTTCAAATGATCCTTTTTTTGACTTTTTAATGGCCCTTTCCAGTGCTTCCTGCTATCTGTCTTCTTACAGAATCCAGATTCTCCATAATTAGTTCTCTCCAATTAATCTGGGTTTACTGACATCACCTTTTAACTACTATACTTTTATCCCCATTCCCACCTTAAGTCTTCTAGCTTCTCATCTAAATTGTAAGACTATTGCCATTTATAATTCTTAATAGTACTGGTTCCTCAAAAGCCCAAGAATGAGCTAACTGTGAAAGAATCACAGGGGTATCTGCTAATACCTCAAGCCTCCTAGCCTTCCACTAAATTTGTAGGTCTAGGGATGAGCTCAGAAATGTGCATTTTTACTATGGATCCTGCCAAGTGGTTCTGAGGCTAAGAAACACTGCTCTGGTGAAGGGATCCTCAGAAAAAGGAAGGGGGAATTAAAAAATAATAATAATAATAAAATTCTTGTCCCAGTTCAGAGTCTCTTTAGTAGCAAGATACCACTCACTTCCAGTAGTGACTCAGGTGAACTAGGGTAGAAAAAAGGCTATCAACCACTGCTCCAATGTATTAAATGAAAAGACCATTTGAAACTACCCCTTTCACACTCTTGGGTGGCCTGTTATCTTTCAAAACTCACCTTACACTTCAAGGAGGAATTGCAGAGATTTTAAGAACACTCGTAAACAAAAGACAAACCAGTATTAAAATATTAGGAATGTAGATCAGACTTATGTGAGCCAACAGACAAACATTTCACTTATACTTAAGATTAGAGTTTTACAGGCTCACAAAAACTATCAGCTCATGTCTTTTCAAAATGACTTCCATAGTTCTCAGTATCCAGTTCTAATCTCTATGAAACTGAAATGAAAATAGCAAACACGTATTTCTTTACCATGATTATCTCATTTGATCCTGAATTTCTCTCGCTGTAGTTTTGACTTTTCAAACTTCAATCAGGAAAGCTATCTCCCTTCTTAAAATGTACATAGTGAAAACTGAAAGAAGAATGGAACACTTACTGAATCCTTCTTACGAGATCGTTCTTTCTTCATTTTTCCCCCTGCTGCTCTGATGCTGACTCTGTTCTCTCCTCCCAGGTAACCCCGGCAATTAGCCGACCCACAGAAACATTTCTGAGCTTCTTTCCTGTTCAAGGAGCATAGGAAAGATGTCAGTTACATGAAAACAAACCATATAAAAATGCTGATAATATAGCAGTCACGTTCAAGAGAAGTCAACCTAGCCTAAAGAAAAAAAAACTTTAAGAGATACCAACAACTCTATTACTATCTAATGGAAATGCCTGTAAATTACTCTTTAAAAAAAGCCATTCTTTTGCCAATCTTCCTTTGTTAGCTAGACAAAACTAACCAAGAAGTTAATAAGTAATTTCTCCATTTATGAGAATATCCACTAATACATGAAAATAAGAGATCATATACCTATCTGGGGTAAGAAAAACTGCTTAACTAGTTCAACATTTGTTACTTACATGTAAGTATTAACTGGCACAGAGAACAAAATGTACTATTATAAATAGATGTATAGATATAAAATGCATTATTAATAAAGTACACTTAGAAAGAAACAAGTGGTTACTAAAAAGTTATCATTACATAAGGATGAGACACTAATAATATATATAGTAATAAATGATTGTAATGACAGAGTCAAGGGAAAGTGGTAGAAAGAAGTCTACAAGTCTGGGTGCAAACCAACCCTGCCATTTATTTACTCTATGACCAGAGCTACCCAAGGAAAACATGGAGTATTCCAAAAGTAAACTGACAGATTTGGTACATGACAGTAGCAATCAGAGATATAAAACTATTCAATAAATAGCAGGGAATTCCAAACAGCACTTAATTTCCAGTTTCCCTTCTTTCAAATAGGACAGTACAAGCAAACACACACAAAAATACTGGAGCCCTGCATGGAACCTGGTCCATATCCATCCCCAGAATACTTGACCATTGCCTAGATCCATTAGTTTACGAGGTGTTACAAAATGGTGATACCATTACTGTTTCGTTTACTAGCTGAAATAACCTCCTCTCACCAATTGTTTGATTTAACCTGAAGTAGAATTCTTTTAGGAAAGGCAGGATATATGCTTGACTTTTTTCCCTTTTAATTTTTAAACTAGTGGTTACCACTTGACAGAGGGAAGGGAGGAGGGGCAAAACAGGGGTAGGGGATTAAGAGATACAAACTATTAGGTGTAAAATAAGCTATGAGGATGTAAACTACAACTACAATTGGGAATACAGCCAGAATTCTGGATTAACTATAAATGGACTATAACCTTTAAAAACTGTGAATCACTATGTGGTATACCTGTAACTTATATAATAGTGTACATTCAATTAAAAAAATTAGTTTTCAAAATCATGAATTGGTTTCCTTCAATTATGACTAACACAATTTTATTTTTAAAGTATCATTAAAACTCGTGGATTTTATGTAGTGTGTTTCAAACCATTTGCAATTATAACCCTTATTGATGCTTAAGTGTTAATAAGAACTCTCCCACTTTTGTTAAGTGAGAGCCTATTTAAGCTAGCTCCTGAGTCCCTTTTACATGACCCTTCTCATCTTTTTTAATTGGTTTTCTGGTATGATAAAATAATCCAGGGTCATTTTGTTCAATGTCTCTCCCAAACTTGAAACCAGACATTTCTCAAAGGAACCCTGTTTCTTTTAGCGGCATTTTGTAAAACCACAACATAGATGCTAGGGGTATTCAGTGCTATTGCATCATTACCATTGGTTTTCATAGACAGAACTGGGTGACAATTTATTTTTCAGAGTACAATGTGCTGTAGATGAGACAACATTAGTCATGAGTTGATAACTGACATGAATGATGGCTACATAGAGATTTATTATACTGTTCTCTTTATATACACACATATACCCTGTTGGCATTTCTGTAATAATAAGTTTTAAAATTATGTTAGAAACAATTATATTGATGAGACAGCATGAAGTTCAGAAGAACATTATGTAGTTCCTATATAATATCCCTTAATGGCCAGTAGTGTTATACAGTAGGAAAACACAAAAAACTGAAAACACAACACTATAGATAAGAACTGACAATTCATAAAACTTCTTAGTAATTCATATCCAACTTTTAGATCTGTATATCCAAACAGTCTATTTCCCCATCTGAAGCAACAAAAGAGAATAGAATCAGTACTCACCCATATCTTTGGAACTGATAGTCAAATGTTAACTCTGAGCCTGAAGGAACCAGTTTGGTGGTAAAGAACCCAACTCTCAGTTGTCCATTCACAGTCCACTGAGATGTTTTCAAAAGAAAATAAATGAGTAACTGGTTAATCTATGTGTACTGGTTTTTTTTATTGTTGTTGTTGTTAATGGAGGTACTGGGGATAAAACCCAGGATCTTGTTATGCCAAGCACATGCTCTACCACTGAGCTATTCCCTCCCCCGTACTGGTTTGTTTGTCTGTTTTTCAAAGCTCATCATCACCTGTCTTAATTTTGATGTCACTCTTTAGAGAACAAAGCGTTTTGTAAATAGCAAAAGGAGAATTTTTTCCGTTAAATAAACTAACATATTTAAGTATCACTCTTATTTAATGAGCTACAAGACTGAATATTATCTATAACATATTTCTAATAAAAGTAACTGATACTTTAACTTATCTTAATACACATTTCCACACGGTAAAGATTCACTTGTACCAAAAATAGGCAAACAGGGAATGCTTGGTGTCACTGAATACCAGGCAAATTTATACTACCTTATATTATGTTGAAAGTAACTATGTTCTAAGATAAGATGGGGCATGGGACCAGGGAAACAATGATGTCAAAAGTTTAATTTCATGAAGCAGTGGTCATATGGCTGAGTGTAGTATCAGGGAAGGGAAGCATGAAAACAGATGCATAAAACTCAAAAATTAAAATGGGGGTAAATACACAGGGGTTAGAACTTATAGTTCTAGAATATGTCAAATGTAAGTTGACAAGAGCACTCCTGTCCAGACCATCTGAACATGTTACTAATGAGAAACCCAGAAGAAAAGAGGTGGAGGGACACAATATAGTTGGGAGTCTCAGTCTCAGAGCAAGACATGTGGCCACCAGATACAGGCAAAACTAGAACCAGAACTTAATTACGTTAAATCAATTCCAGACTGGGTTCTCCTATTCATTGTGTGTGTGTGTGTGTGTGTACATATATTTTTATATTTTACTCCAAGCTTAAAACACAAATTAGAGGGTACTAAGATCATTATCTCAAAATGTTGTATCAAATTCAGTGAATGATTTATCAAGTGTCGACCATGTGCCAGGCACAGGGACATAAAGATAAGCAGGACCAAAAGTCTGGCTTTGGTGAGGTGGAACAGTGCACCCACATGCACACCATATATAAATCCTCACATCTCTGGCCATTCAGTCCCTGAATAAATGTTATTAAAACCATCAAATCTGGCACATGGATAACACTGATACATATTCTGAAATAAAATCTAAATATAATAGTATACACTGAACTTCATCAAAAATAAAATTTAGTTTCTATTTTGGCACTTTTGAAATAATATCTAAAATTATGGGCAAAGAAAGGTGACAAATGCAATAGGAGTTCCTAGATTGGATCCCAGACCTGAAAAATGACAGATGGCAAAATCTGAATAAGGTCTTTAGACTAGTTAATAGTATTGCCAGATTGGGCAAATGTATTATGGTGACATACAATGTAGACATTTGAAGGAGCTAGTGAAGGATAGTACATGGGAACTCTGTACTATTTCCCCACTATTTGTTATTTTATAAATCTAAACTTATTTCAAAATAAACATTTTAACAGAATATGAAAAAATGATTTAAATGATTAAAAAGTAAAATATATGTGCATCTCTGACATAGAATCTAAAATTAATAGTTAGAACAGCAATCTTTTTTTTTTACAAGTATAAGCCTTTTTAAATTGAGAGTGTACACGATCAAAAAAGTCTTAAGACTACTACTCTAGATGACTCACTCTATTCTTGAGAAACAGGGCTGAACTAGCAACAGAAAAGAACAACAATCTTGAACAAATAGCCCAAACTCTACTTCATCTTACTTTTTGAGTCTCACAGTTTGGTTCACAGCTGTGATTCATGAAGCGAGAGCAATTTCCTTTCTGAGTGGCATCTATTATCTAGGAAAAAGGATAATTTAAGACTTAAAAATAAGACTTTAAAACATATGTGCATTTTGCAAAAGAAATGCATCAGGCAAATTTAAGACCCACATCCCTGACCCCCTCCTTCCTTAAGAGAATACTCTCATGCTACTTTACACATCAAAGTGACAAATACCCAACTGTGTCTTCAGCAAGATCTGCTAAATATAAACATTTTACCTATGTGCAGAATTATCTCCACATCTATCAATGTCTCTCTCATTTACTTTTAGCTATTTCTTACATCCTATTACATTCTAATCTCACTTCATGTGTGTAAGACTTCACCTTAAAATGCATGCTATACCACAGTGCAGTAGCTCTCAAACTTGAGTGTGTATCTGAATTTCCTGCAGAGTTTGTTAAAACTCTTGCTAGATCCACTCCCAGTGTGAGATTGAGCAGGTCCTGGGACAGGTCCCTACAATTTGCATTTCCAGACTGAATGCAGAGGCAGATATGAGAGTCTAAATTCTATTAAGTCAGACAATAAAGAGATTTGTAAATGGCACTCCTCACTAAAAAAAAAAAAAAAAGTTTTGAAAATAGTTAATTTTGATAAAAGCATGTTATTTGCGTCAACCTATAATGGGCTATTGTTACTTTTAACTAGCTTAATAAATATTTTTCAACCTCTCAGCTACAGTTTTTACATATATATGTAAATACCTCCCTCTCCCTCATCTTTTTTGTAAGAAAAAAACTATACACACTGCTCTGCTCATTTTCATCACTTAATATATTTAAATCAGTCCATATCAATCAATGGCCCTTTCATAATCCACAGTTTCCAGATCTGTTTCAAAACAAATACGCATGCCGCTTACCTCGTCATTCTTCAGGGCCATGAAATAGTAGTGGATGTTTTTGTTTCGCGCATACTCCTTTACTCGGGCTTTAAACTCTTTATGATCAAGTACCTCTCCACAATACTCCAGGACAAAGGTATTTCTGGCAAATGAAAAAGAAAACAGTATTTCCTTTCTAGGAGCTATATAGAAAACATATATCTATGCAAAAATACTGAATTTAAAGAACTACTGTAAAATGGATAGATTTGTTATTACACAAGATATAATTAAAATATATGTAAAGTGCCTATCATCTAATTGAGGTTAATTTTCTCTTTCCTAATATTTTTTGAAGAATGCTGATTCTAAGCAGCTTTTATAATTTATACACAGAGAGCATATCCTTGCTCTAACTAAATATTAAAACAACTTTTCAAGTTTGGTTTACATTATCATGAAAACAATGATTCACAGCTGAGAAACGGAGAGGCAAGAAAAAATTAGATGCTTTATGGTCAAATAAAAAGAAGTCAACTTAAATACAGCAGCCCTTCTACTACCTTTCTCTCAAAGGTTTCTAAGAATGCTAAAGGTCAAATATACCTTTTCTCTGACTCCATTCTCTGAGTTTTCTGGCATTTATCAACAATTATGATTAATCTCTCTCCTTGGCTTCTTTCACTTACTTTCTATCCTTGATCATTCTTCCCATAGTTATTTACCTCTTTTTCTCTACTGAAGATAGTAATTAATTCTCAATTTCTTCCCCCTCTATTTCAGAGAAGCTCATTCTCATCAAAGACTCCAAGAATTATCTCCATGTGGACAAATGCCTCTCTATGCTTTGCTCCCAAGTTCTGACCTGAAACGAACTACCTGGAAGCCCTGTCTTATCTCTTCAAAATTAACATGCCCTATCATTAACCAAAGAGATTTTTAAAAAGGCAAAAATGTAAATCATTTCTCTTTGTTTATGATATACTGACACAAACAGTGTATTTATTAAAGAAGTAATTAACTGGCCAACTGAAAACATTACACCCTCTTAGTTAAGAAAATAAAGCAGTTAAAAATGAAGAACAATTATGCGAAAAAGCAAAAATCAAAAACAGGGTAAGAGAAATTAATATATGAATATACACCTTTGTGTAGCAGTCCATCACAAACACATTTAAGTCTTAATAATCAAAATCTGATTACTCATAGATACTCCTTAAAAGTCAAATTACTCTTTTTAAAAAAATTTTTGGGGGGTCTCATTTTAAAAGCAAGAAATGTTTCACAATTGCTGCTCCAAATTACTAGCTTTATGAACAATAATTTCCCTTTCTGATCCCAGAAGCTTATCATTTTGTAAGCACTGCACTAGAATGATCACAAAATTTGAGGTCTTAAAATACTGGACTCTATGTGTCTAGGATCAGTCCCAATCCTTGAGAAAAAGAAAAATGACAGATACATCAAAGGCTGCTATGTAGATTAAATGTGATAATGACTATAAAATGAACCTTATCCAGGATCTGGAACTTCATTTTTAAAAAATATGTCCATTTCCTCTCCTAACAAAAACTAAATTCTCCTCCCTCAATTGGATCTTTCAAAGTTCACTGAAGCCCTGCGACACAGGTATTATGCCCATTTGACAGAATATTATGCCCATTTGACAGGTAAGATGGAATTTACAGAAGTCAGGTGATCTGCACAAGGTGACAAAGCTTGATTTATAGCCTGGGATTTAAACCCCATCCAAATGACTGCTTGTCCCTTTATACTATAAAAATACTCCCTTCTATTACACTAAAATATTCAATTCTGATAATACTGCTCTCAAATCACCTCTTCATTTTAAAAAAGTGGTTAAATACCAGAACCTAACGAACCACTAAATCATTCAAGAGTAGAAACTTTACACCATCAAGAAATCTGAAGGATGCACCAATACCCACGGGTCTAAAAGTCAGGCTTGATGAAGCAGCTAAGAAAAGAATCTCAAAACTCTTCAGTTGCCTAACCTCCAAAAAACTAAATGAGGCAATGTAATAGCGTATCATTCAGTCCTTGAAACTAGTTAGATAAATTAGGCATGGATTTCTTAGAAAAGCTCCATGCCTTAATTAAAAAAACTAAAAACACTGTTTACTCTTTTAAAAAAACAGCTCTTGGTTTTATTGTTTTTTTCTATTTTTCTAATCTTTATTTATTTCCTCCCTGATCTTTATTATTTCTTTGCTTCTGCTGACTTTATGTTTTGTTTGTTCTTCTTTTTCTAGTTCTTTTAGATGATAGGTTAGGTTGTTTGAGATTTTTCTTGTTTTTTTTTTTGAGGAAAGCCTGTATTGCTAAGAACTTTCCACTTAGGAATGCTTTTGCTGCATCCCACAGATTTTGTGTGGTTTTGTTTTCATTGTCATTTGTCTCAAGGTATTTTTAAATTTCTTCTTTGATTTATCACTGATTCATTGATGCTTTTGGAAGCATGTTGTTTAGCCTCCATGCAAGCACTTTTTTCTCATTTTCCTTTCTATGGTTGATTTCTAGTTTCATCCTGTTTGGTCAGAAAAGATACTTGAAATAATTTCTATCCTCTTAAATTTGTTGAGACTTGTCTTGTGTTCAAGTATGTGATCTATCCTAGGAAATGTTCCAAGTGCGCTTGAAAAGATGTTCTATTGTGTCATTTAGGATCTCTGTTGCCTGACTGGTTTTCTGTCTGAAAGATATGTCCATTGATGTTAATCGAGTGTTAGTCTCCTAATACAAAAACTACTAGAGCCGAAAATGAATTCAACAGGGTAGCAGGTACAAACTTAAGACACAGAAATCTGTTGCATTTCTTTACACTAACAGTGAAATATCAGAAAAGGAAAGTAAAAAAAAAAAATACCCTTTTAAAATCGTATCCAAAACAAAACAAAAAAACTTAAGGAATAAACCTAGACCAAGGAGATGAAAGACTTACATGCTGAGAACTATAAAACATT